TTAACAAAGGTCTTTATGATATCAGCTTATTAAAATGTAAGTGACAGCTTGTAAGCCATTGAACAAATGTTTTCTGAACATTGACTAGCATTGACTTTTCTAACCCAAAAGCTGTTAGAGGACAAGTGAGAAAAATCTGATCCCTGGGGGTTGCTAGCTGACATCTTAGCTTCTGATTTAGTGAGAGATTCTGTCTCAAGGTGTGAGTGTGAGGAGTAGAGCATCCAGTATGCTCCTCTGGCTTCTGCATGCACAGAGGAACACACATCTACATACACCTGTGCACATAAACCACACACAAACACATACACACATATGCACACACGTGCATGCACACACACACACACACACACACACACACAGACACACACAGAGTAAATTCACTCTTCCACCTACACATAGACAAGGAATAATTCTAACAGGGCAGTAAGAATGAACATTTTTTCATATTATTTCATGAAGTATATCAACATTTATAAATATTGATTCCTGACTTTAAAAAAAATGAGGATGTATATTCATGTATAAGTTGAAATTCTAGTCATCTTATATTTTTAAGTTTTAGTCTTGGAAATGTAATTCAGCTCAACCTAAAACCGACCTTAATACTTGCATATAATTAAAATGGTATAAAAGCAGATTGGGGGAAAAATAAAGAACTTAGGGAAATCAGAAAAAATAATAAAAATCATAAAATAATAAAAGAAACGTAATTCAGACTCTTTTGTTTGTTTGTTTGTTTGTTTGTTTGTTTTTGGTTTTTCAAGACAGGGTTTCTCTGTGTAGCCCTGGCTGTACTGGAACTCACTCTGTAGACCAGCCTGGCCTCAAACTCAGAAATCTGCCTGCCTCTGCCTCCCAAGTGCTGGGATTAAAGGCGTGCGCCACCACTGTCTGGCTCAGACTCTTAAAGTAATTTCATATGTATTTTTTTTATAAATTTTGATATGCTTATATATAATTTTTCATACACAAATATTGTTATATGTTAAATATTATACACATAGTGTATAATATGTATAATATGCAATATTATATATTCTATAGTAAATGAGACAACCCATGTTATACTTATATTAATGTTGAATATATAAATTATGGTCATGTATATATTTGTAATTTATATGTAATGTACAGATTATGCCATACTTCAGATTAGATAGTTGAATAGCTTGGTAGATAAATGTATGAAATCTAACCTATGAACAAACTATTGTTCATTAGCAATACTTGACCTCTCTTGACCAGGATTTATAGTCTAGTTTTAATGTGTGTGTGTGTGTGTGTTTGTGTGTGTGTAATTGTGTAACAATGCACATGTTTTGATAGAAATATATAGAAGGTATTTGAAGATAATAACTAAGTACTCACATGATTAAAAATACTAGAATAATCTATACAAATTCAGAGAGTATAAAACCAGCAGCTCAACTAACAAACCAAGACCAGTCTCACTGAATGCAGATTTGATGAGTTGGGCACACTCCCAGTTCCCTGAGTTATTGTTAGAAGCAAAATTGTGGAAACACTGTGATTTGGCGTTCACTTTTGAATAGTCATTATTGTTGTTCAAATGGCTTAAACAGTTCAACCACACATATTTAATCACTGCAGAGAAATCTTAATTTTAGGGAGTGAGAAGTAATCAGAATCATAGAAAAAAAGTAGCTTGTCCTAAAATAAGCACAACATATTATTAGACATCAAGAAAAATTTAATGCATTTTTTCATAAGAAATAGAACTAATCTGCGGTGGATGTTATTTGCATTATTATAAAATATTCCAGACTCTTTTAAAGGAATGTGATAGGTGTTTAAGTATAAATTATATTACACAGATAATTTCAGGGAGTGTTATAATTTCCAGACTACCTTTCTACAGGCAAACACAAGAGAATGTGTGGGTATTTCAAAAGAATTTAAGCTATTCATAGAGGAACAGATTTGACTTTGTAATGGAGAAGGTCTGGTTTATAGGTCATTTTATCAGTTTTCAGCCCACAACTAAGGACTTATCATGAGTAAAATGAGGCTGGGCAATGTGAAATAACCTTCCTTCATGATTTTTATCAATACTATAGGACTGTCTAGAGGCAATAAACCACACCCATTTTCTCTGTCACACTGCCCCATTGTGTGCTAAGTGATAGGCAGGAAAGCATCCACATTTGCACAAATCACTATTCTGTTCCAGGCCCTGCGAAGAGAATTCTATTTATATGAACATATAAAGGCAAAGATTTCTGGCCTCTATGTAGACTGAAGGGACATTTGCTTCCTGAGATCTGAATGAGAGGCATTATAAGTCACAATTAATATATAGAGAAGGCATATAAAGCAACAATGGCTCTATTATTCAATTGTCACTGATAGGAAGCTGGTAGGAAAATTAATCTCCAGAAGTCATAACTAACTCCCTCCTCCTGGTTTTCATTTATCCACCTTTCAAGACAAAAAGGAGTTTCTACCAACTGTGGGATTATAAATTCAACCTAAGATCTGAAAATCGGGTACTGTTATTTTTTTCCACCTTTATCCTTCATCGTGGATGATGAAGATATTGTCACTGGAATTCAGCTATGACAGTACGGATGATTAAACTCTAGTCTAATTGGCTTTGCAGAGTGAGCAGAAGCCAGGACTTAATGATTGTTTCTTCTAGCTTCTGAATTAAAATAAACCCCTGTGATTCACACTCATCGAGAACAGGAGTCTGATGATTATAAAAGCCTTTTTATGGGCAACATCGCTGATTATAGGAAAACTGAAAGTACAAGATTAACTTTGGCTCTTGGAACTTTCAACTAATTAACATGCCTTTAAGAATTTATTTGCATGTGATATGAATATGTTTAGGTCTTCTGATGTATGTGCATGTGCATTCTTGTGCCTATAAAAGCCAGAGGCTGAAGTCATGTATCTTCCCAAATCACTTTCTTCCTTATGTTTTTGAGACAGGATGTCACTGAGCCTGGACTTTACAGGCTCACCAGTCAGCTCTGGGGCCTCTTCTGTCTCTTTCTCTCATCCTATGCTGAAATCATGCACTTGCCGTACCACAGCTGAGTTTGTACGTGCTTGGATATCAAGCACTTTACTAACTAAGACATCTCCTTAGCCCCTTTCTGAACTTTTAAAGGCAGTGGTTTGAGATTATGACCTCGGTATCTCAAAAGCATGCGAAAGCTATTGATGGCTTTATGGAAAACAGATGTTTAAGCCTTAAATAATCTTACAAACAGTTGCTGCAGTTCACTTTTTAGAAAAGAAATCTTTGGCCTAAAAGGTGGCACTCAAAGGGGGCTGGATGTCAGTGGTACCCCTCACCTCTTCTTCGACCATTTTGGGAACATAGCTGCTGGAATGGATCTACTTACCAGGCAAACAAAGCTGTTACCTGTGGTGCTGGAACTAAGTACATGCCAGAAAACCAGAATATGAAATGAAAAAAAACATTTCTCCAATGAGCTTTCAACTCCATGTTATTTTCTCCACTATCTTCCTATGGGAGGGTTTTACGAAGAACTCTCATAAGCTCAAAGACTAGCTTTGTACAGAACTGTGATTTTCAGGTACTAGAACAATCCAGTTTGACTAAATTTTCTGTAACTTCAAAATTAAAAGGGAAAAGACATGGGATTTTGAAAATATCTTCACAGTATGTATCTAAAAATAGCAATGCCCCTGTTAGCTAAAGAAATATTTGATCTAGATTTTAATAATTCCCCTTAGAATCATTCCATTACCTGCGAACCCATTGCCCACGTAAGGGCAATACATCTCTCTCTTTCCCTCATACTGCTAAAAACTTGACTAAATGACTATGTCAATGAGTAGCAATGAAGAAGCAAATAAAACATGTATCTGTACAATAACTTCTGAAAACTTTAATGTGATCTCTTACATTCAAATTAGAGCTGCTCAAGCCACAGTCACTTAGGATATTTGTTTGTCCAACTCAGAAATGATAACAGAGGACACGTTGGGAAAAGATGCTAAAGTTCAATTAGTTACAAACCCCAAATCCATCAACAAATCTATTGAAAATATAGATGAGTGTGGATATTATGTGAAGTCAGTATACCACACATCTTTCAAGCTTTTGTGTACTTATACGTAGAAAGTGATGCCAATCTTAAATGCATATATATATATATATATATATATATATATATATATATATATATGGAATTATCTTTTGTAAGGAAGAAATATAAAATCTCATAATCTCTTAGAGTTACACATTTTTCAGAAAGGGTATAAGAGCCAGAGGTGGGGGAGCAGGGGTAACTACAAGGTTATAGTTTCTTATGGACACAGTAAAGATGTAGATATTTGATTCCTAGCAGTTGGGACGTCATGGCAAAACTTGTGCAAGCCAGACCAAATCCCAGCATAGAGAGGGAAGCTTGGCAAACAGCCCAACCCACACTGTGGAGCTACTGGCAGTGATTAGCTGCTGGGAAAGGGAGAGACAGTTTTCTATAAGCATGTAGCTTCTGGTAAATTGACTGCTCACCAGTGGAAGAGGACACATCCAGAAATATTTAGGCAATACAAATCGGTCTTAAGAGAAAAATAGAGAGACAAAATTGTATGGGTAGAGAAAGGGGATGGACCTGGAAAGAATCCGGAGTTAGGGTGAATATTATCAAGGAACATCATATGAAACTATCAAAGAGTTAACTGTCTTTTACTCCTTTACAATAAGCTATGCATTTCAATGTTGATATTTCAATCATATTCATATTGACTGAATCTGTATTGTTAATATAGTAATCAAAGTAAAATTGTGTATTGATAGATATTATCATTTGTATCATTTTATGTACTCTGGTATATTCATTTGTGGACATATGGTAAAAGAAAGAAAAAGCACTGGGATCTATACTTTTCAGGAAAATACCCTTCCAACTCCCATTATCCTAAGTAGTCATCAGTGGAAAGAGTATGATCATCAAAAGCACCCAGACTAACACAGTGTTTCTCTCTCCTCTCAGGGGCTGACGTTATCAACTTTGATGGCCATGTTGTGTTACCATATCGATTCAGAAACAAGAAGATGAAAACACTCAAAGATGTTATTGCTTTGAAATTTAAGACCTCTGAAAGTGAAGGAGTACTTTTGCATGGTGAAGGACAGCAAGGGGATTACATTACTTTAGAACTGAAAAAAGCCAAGCTGGTCCTCAGTTTAAATCTAGGTTTGTGATGATTTTCTATTATATATTTCTTATCATTAAACTATTTACAAAGAAGGGGCGGGAGAGATGGCTCAGGTTCAATTCCCAGCACCACACTATAGCTCACAAATGTCAACTCTGGAATTGAAATTCCATGGGATCTAATGACCTTTTCTGACCTTCATGACCACCAGATATATACATGGTACACTTACATATATGCAGGTAAAGCATTCATACATATAAAATGAACAAATAAATAAATTGAAAGCATTTTCAATGTTACATAACCCTTTAAAACAAGAATTCTAACATTTCATTTTATATTGCCAATTCTTTTTTCATCTATCGTGGCAGATTATCTATTTACATAGCTATTTCTCTAAGTCACCTTTTTTTTTATCACTGTGGCAATATACCTGAAAAACTTCTTAACAGAGAAAAGCTGATATTGCTTCATGTTGAATAATTCTAGTCACTGGATTGTGTTGAGGTAGAACACCATCCAGGGAGGGTATGACAGAACAAAGATGCTCCTGGGGTGCCAGAAGTAGAAAAAAAATTGGAAGAAGATAGAAACAAGATAGACATGTCACCAAAACATTTACTGTGGCCTTTTTCTTTCAACCAAGATCAAACCCCTAGTGCCTGTCACATCTCAATAGCACTAGCAAATCACTATTTTATCAGTGGACTGACTGATCCACCCATGAAGTTGAAAGAATCAGCATCCAATCACTTTTCTAAACTTCATCAACCTGGATCAAGGCTTTAACCACTGCATCTTTGGGGAACACTTTATTTTCAACCCATAAAACTATTGATTCAATAAAATGTTTGTTGTGACACTTATACTATGTGCGATATTATAGTAGCTATTAGGATACATAGGAGACCTGAAAAACATGGTCTCATTAAGTTTGAGGATTGCCTTATCTGGTATCAATGGAAGGGGAGATCCTTAGTCCTGTGGATGCTTGATGCACCAGCATAAGCAGATGCTAGAGGGGTGAGGCAGGAATGGGTGGGTGGGCGGGGGAACACCCTCTTAGATGCAAAGGGGAGGGAGGATAGAATGGGGGTGTGAGGAGGGGAGACTGAGAAGAGGAACAACATTTGAAATGTAAATAAATTTAATAACCCATATTTTAAAAAAGTTTGTGAACTGCCCCGGTGAAATAAAAATATAACTTCAAAATATAAGCCTTAGGAAGTCAGTTTAATAAGTAGCTATTATACTGTGCTCAGATTGAAATGCCACCCTAAGAAGCAATAGGACCAGTGTCAGGATGTATAATGAATGAAAACTCTTTCTTAGGAAAAATCACAATGTCCAGGATAAGATTTAAGTTTTGAAAAAAAAAATTAAGCTATCAAAAGAGACAAGAAAGTATGGGAGAGACCATTGCAGACAAAGACCTTGTGTGTCTACTACGAGCAAAAACCCAAGTATGGTTAATGCATGCAGTCAATTGTTGAAGACACAAGAGGAATTTCAGGAGATGTTCATATTCTGCAGGATACTGCTGCCCTGAATATTAAGAATGAGGAGCTCATGGATGCTCACCTTGTATGTTCACTGAGACTCTCATGGAAAGTGTTGCCTAGACCAACGTGTGAGTCCAACAAGACATTCGTGGCCAGGGATGAAATGACATTGTTGAAAAGTGTCAGGGGAGATTAAAAAAAAAAGTAATGCCTCTGAGAAATATGCTAGTGGTAAATCTAGAATGACCTAGGATAGACTGTGTAGGAAGCAAGAAGAGCATAGACACAAAGCATGGTTCCTGGGATTTCGGCTTGGTCACTAAATATATGCTTAGTGTCATTTTCAGAAAAATAAATAAATAAAAAGAGGGTATTCTGAACATTTGAGCTAATATGTGTGTTCTTTTGTGATGGGATTACCTCACTCAGGATGATATTTTCTAGCTCCATCCATTTGTATAAGAATTTGATGAATTCTTTGTTTTTAATAGTTGAGTAATACTCCATTGTGTAAATTACTACATCTTCTGTATCCATTCTTCTATTGAAGGACATCTGGGTTCTTTCCAGCTTCTGCATATTATATATAAGGCTGCTATGAACATAGTGGGGCATGTGTCCTTGTTATATGTTGGAGAATCTGTTGGGTATATACCAAGGAATGGTATAGCTGGATCCTCAGGTAATATTGTGTCCAATTTTCTGAGAAACTGGCAGACTGATTTCCAGAGTGATTGTACAAGCTTATAATCCCACCAACAATGGAGGAGTATTTCTCTTTTTCCACATCCTCACCAGCATCTGCTGTCACATGAGATTTTGATCTTAGCCATTCTGACTGGTGTGAGGTGGAATCTCAGGGTTGTTTTGATTTGCATTTCCCTAATGACAAGGATGCTGAACATTTCTTTAAGTGTTTCTCAGCCATTCAGTATTCCTCAGTTGAGAATTCTTTGTTTAGCTCTGTATCCCATTTTTTAATAGAGTTATTTGATTCTCTGGAGTCAAATTTCTTAAGTTCTTTGTATAGATTTTGGATTAGCCCTCTATCATGTAGTATTGGTAAAGATCTTTTCTCAATCTGTTGGTTGCTATTTTGTCCTATTGATAGTGTCCTTTGCCTTACAGAAGCTTTGCAATTTTATGAGGTCCCATTTGTTGATTCTTGATCTCAGAGTTTAAGCCATTAGTGTTCTGTTCAGGAAATTTTCCTTTATGCTCATGTGTTTGAGGCTCTTCCCCACTTTCTCTTCAATTAGTTTCAGTGTATATGGTTTTATGTGGAGGTCCTTTATCCACTTGGACTTGAGCTTTGTACAAGGAGATAAGAATGGGTCAATTTGCATTCTTCTACATGCTGTCTTCCAGTTGAACCAGCACCATTTGTTGAAAATGCTGTCTTTTGTGTACTAAATGGTTTTAGCTCCTGTGGGATTGCGTAAGAGTATTCTGGGTCATGGATGGGCAGTTGCCTAGAACCCCGAGACTCTATGTGAGAACCAGCAGGAGTTTGGCACGTCCCCAGAACCCAGGGTCCTGAAAAGCAGTCTAGTCTCCATAGAATTACATTGTTCAGTCACGTAGGCCAGACAGCCCCTCCCAATGTGCACAGGTAGAGGGCATGACTAGAGGCCTCAGGCCCTAGGGATTTACATATTAATGAAGGGCAGAGGGCGGAGCAAATTAAGCATGCCTCCCCAGATCCTCCCCCTTTCTCCCTCTCTATATAACTCAGGACTGCTCTGAGGTTTACAGGGGTACTTACAGATTCATCCACCATCTGCCATGACAATAATCCCTTTTGGAACCAAGGACTTCCTAGTGTTATTGGGGCCTGCCGCCACAAAAGCCTCCAGGCTGCTGGAACATTAGATGTTCCTCCTGCATGTGGGACCTGAAGCATGGAAACCTACTC